TTTTCTTTCAGGGCTTATGTGACAACCTATTGACTTGCGTTGTTCGTGCCTGGGATGTCAAGAAGCCCTTGTTATTTTGCCCAGCAATGAATACTCGTATGTGGGAACATCCTGTTACTGCCATTCAAATATCATCTTTAAGAAGCTGGGGATATGTGGAAGTTCCATGCATTTCTAAAACTTTAATATGTGGTGATACTGGCCTTGGTGCTATGGCGGAAATAGATACCATTGTGAATACTTTGATAGGGACCATTGAGGACACTGGTACGTAGGTAAGGTCCTTAACAATTGTGCTGTATTTGGGTGTATAGTGGTCAAACTTTTTGAGGAAATATAATAATTTTGTTTTTTAAAAAATGTGTATTTTTAACATCTTTAAAAATATAAAATCTCTTAATAAATGCACTAACATTTGGCCTTAATCATTGTACAACAAAATATTTAAATTTTATATTTTGAGCATCAATCTGTTCCGGTGAATGCACAAGAATGTATTGCATCAATCAGAACAAACTAGATCACATCACAGACTACAAAACGTTGATTTATCACTCTTCAGGGAATAAAAGCAAACATACAAAAAGAAATTACAATATGTACATCACAGCCAATAGGAAGACAGTGAGCAAAAGTGTGTGTATCGTATCCGCGACTTCCGGTGGTGTCAGACCAGCGACCCACTTCTGTGATACGACGCTGTAGTGGGCGACCCGCTGCACAGCACACACGAGTGGTGCGGGCTCCCGGACACCGCGCCAGCCATCCCCAGCACTCGCACTGGGCCGCCGTGGTGGTGGCTGCGGAGTCCAAAGGGGTGGGCGAGGGCCGCCGGTGGGCAGGGGCTGCAGGGCGGCGAGTGGTCGCGGTGGCGCTGGCGACGCGAGGCGCACGCTGACCGGCGGGCCACCAGGAAGACGATGAGGAGCGAGGTGGCGGCGGCGCAGTGCCAGGCGAAGGACAGCGTCACCCACAAAGTGCTGGCCCCGCTGGCAGTGCTGGCTCGGGGTGCTGGCGGCCAGTAGAGCAGCAGGCCACAGTGGTAGAGCCACGTGCCGTGCACGACGCCGGCCGCGCACCGCACCGCGTCCAGGGCCTCGCGACACGGCCAGGGCACCAGCCCGCACAGCATCGTGAACACGCCGCACGCCCCCATCACCCCCACGAGCAGGTGCAACGCGTAGCGCCCGTCTGCGGCCACCAGCCCTCTCTCCTCTTCGGCCACCTCAACGTGGTGGAACAGGAATGCCTCCATGAAGAAGGCGAGCGCCAGGGCGGTGCGCGCGTGGCCGCGCCCCATGGCCTGCGGGCAGTAGCAGGCGAGGATGTCGACGGCACCCGACAAGGTGAAGAAGAGGTACACGGTGGCGAACGGCACGTCGCCGACGTACTGGAAGGAGCCGTCCGGGTAGGCGGCAAACAGTGACCCGACGATGCCAACCAGGGAGATGAGCAGCTTGAGCACGCCCTGCACGGGGTGGCGGTGCCAGGCGAGCCGCGGCCACCGCAGTCGCAGGTCTGCCTTGGCGGGGAGTCGGCCGTGTCGCGACCGCGGGCCGGCGTGACCCCAGCACCAGCCCACGCCGAACAGGGACATGACGGTCCCCGGGAGGGCGTACCCCAGGAACTGGAGGGTCATGGCGGAGTCCGTGCCCGACGGCTAGCCGTGCACGAGCGCGAGCCCAGCCTGGCCAGGCGCCGCGGGTCGCGGGTCGGACGGGACGGCGTGGCGACAGGACGCCCACCAACTGCTGGCGAGTCCAAGCCAACCGCGGCGTAGCGGGGCGCGGGGCCCAATGGAGGGGCGGGGCGGGGCGGGCGCGGCTAACGCGGCGCGGCACGGCGACGTCCTTGCCATGCCGCGCTTCTGTTAATATTATCATTGCGGCGGCGTGCTTGCTGAATGCTGACGGCAGCTGCCCGAGCGGAGAGCGGGGCGGGGGTGTTGGCGTATACGTAGTGACCTGCGCCAACCTTGCCATTACCCAGTGGCTCCCTAGAGGGGTTGCACAGATATACCGGGGGTTTTTCATTGGCAGTCTTGCTCTGCCCCCCTCCCCCTCACACAATCATTCAACTTCTCAGTTGCGCAATTGACACACATAATAGCCCCAAGGTTACGCAGCCGTCCCCCGCACTCCTGCATAACACGGTTCTCGTTGAGCAGATCCGTATGTTGAGCACAGTATTTAAAACTTCATTACCCCTTAGAATTCACTCATCTGGTCTCCAACATTGTTTTTTTACGATGGGGTTTCGCATTTCCCGGGTTCTTACCCTTTTCTTTTTGACCTTTTCTCAATTTTCGCAGTGATCAGAGAAGCGGTAGATTCAAGCAGTCCGCCCTCGTGCAAGTTTCGAAAGAGATCGAGTTTTGTCTCGATGCGGTCGACAAAAACATTGATGGCAGTTTCCAAGATGGCCGCTTGCATCTGCATTGAAAGTTCCGTAGCCAAGAAGTGATACAAAAGACACTTCTGGGCGAAAAATGAATTTACTGGAATATGGGGTCTCAGACACTTGAGATTTTACGCCAAGGAGTGTGGGCCTCCTTGACTGGCGGCTGGTTTTATGACCCACATCAAAGTATATTTTGCAATACATTTCATCTATACCTCTGGCTCATACTTTTGTGTCTGCCATTCACTATTTACTTGGTAAGACTATTTAAATTCTGTCTTTTAGTTTAGGTATACTATTTATTTAATTTATTTCTTGTGTACTCATTTGACAATATTCTATCAAATTTCTTAATTGTAATCTGACTGACATTTGCAATTTTCTTCCATCAAGGAGGTCAAAGTCCTCACTTTTTTCCGTTTACATGACTTTACATCAGCTGTGGAATTGTCAGTGACATCTCATTCTTGTTAAAAATTAAACTTTGATAGAAAACAAGTCAGACCATCTGCAAAGCAGTCTCTTTCTGTGCTGACTATGAACATAAAATTTGCTAGAAATAAATTTAAGGGAGCTGGTTGTGAACATTCAATGTTGTTGATGTTTCTCTCTGTAGTCAAATAATTTTATTGAGTCGTCGTTTTTCTTCCAGTATTTCCCTGCAACATTTCTTGTGTGGGGTATTTATTGCTTTATAGTAGCAGTTCTATTTGGCATTTTGCGTCTCATTAGCTATGGCCTCCATCACATGTATGATACATCCGAGTGCATTCAGGAAACTCCTTCTGTTGAAGAAGCTGCTGAGCAAAATGAGCCAGAATCAGGAGAAAATAGCAGGCACAAACGCCGCAAGAGAAAGGGAGCGCTTGACCAACTGTAAGTCTTGTCCTCACTGTATAGATTCAGATCAGTCCACAATCTCTTTGTTGATGTATTTCTTTCTGATCACTCACATATATTCTATGTTCTCCACTGAAGGGTTGAGGAAAGAATTGAGATGCAAGTACGAACCAAGCAGAGCAATCAAACTCCCCCAGCTGGTTGTAGCTCAAGAACTTCCTATACTGAACCTATGGCTGGCTCAGATGATAGCATACACTCATCTGCTGGATTTGCTGCCCTTTCCTCAACATCCAAAGAGCAAGGGTTCAAAGCAGGAGGCAGCACCATTGGTAACATATTACATACATTGGCATGAAGTTCTGTCTTTACTACCTATTTACTGAACTTTCATATTAATTTGTAATTTCAGATTTAAAAGTGGATGTTCATCGTAAGAACAGCTCTGAGAGTAGTGAAGAAATTGCAACCAGCTTAGGTATGATGAGTCCTCTTGTTGAGGTACCAAATGTTCAACAAGCAGAACAGCTTTCTGTAGATGATCACATTAAAATCCTAAAGTTACACTCTAAATCAAAGGGTTTGTGTTTTTCTTTCATGTTATCTGTCTCTGCTTCAATTCAATGTGTTAAATTTAGTGATAATCTGGCCTTAGACTCTATTTTAATATTTTAAATTCTTTTACAGCAACCAGCAACAGCCAACGTGTACAGTTACGAGACGCTGCTGTAAGCCCGTGCTTTGATGCATCAACAGTTACTGATATCAGTGAAGATGTTAGTGGAAGCAGTGTTCAACGGTTTCCTAGCCGAGCCCTGAGCACTGACAGCACCAATACTCAGAAGCTGTCTCAGCAGAATTGCAATGATGAGGAACTGGGAGCCGCTGCTCTGAGCATTGTGAGTTTCACAAACATACTAATAAATACTTGTCTGCTGTATTCCATGTTTATTACGTTAACTTAATCAAATTTTCATTAAATTTAATCTCCCTAGGAACAAGTGCCTTGTAGTGGAGGATCGTTAGAGGGCAGCAGTCTAGTGGGACAGAGTCATAATCAGGTTCGACGGTTTCCTCACCCTACTAATGGTAGCCTTAGTGTATTACCCACAGTTGCCCTCACTAATGCTCATAGTATGAAACCTACAGGCTCTCTTGAGTTAGGATGTAATATGGAAAAAATTGACAACTATCCTCCTCCTGATAAAGGTATGTTTTAGTTTATGTAATTCTTATTGTTTGGTTTTTTGTTTTTTCTTGAATGTTTTTGATCTAGAATTTAAAAATTGACAAAAAAATTCTTCCTTTCACTTCTAGGATTATTGTACTGGAAAGAACAGAAATGCCACTGTGGTGAGGCTCCTATGCGACATATTTGTAACACTGGCTTGGAAACCCCTGCAGCGCAGGCTTCCCCCTCAACTGCTAGTCTAGAAGCATTACAGCCACATTCACCAATCTCTAATCCTCGAAATCACACATCATCCCCTACTTTTATGAAAGAACAAAAGGACGAACAAGTTGATGTAAGTCGCTCATGTATGGAGAGTGACAATGAAGAGAATAATACGGGAAGTAGGTCACCTCTTCTCACACGACATGAGAACACAAGCAACTCTAAAGTTTCAAGAGCAGTATCACTTGATACCACTATATCTAAAAAACTGAATGCCGATAGTACAGAAAATGACAGGAAGGCACACAGTCGCCCTTTAAGTCTTAGTGGCTCATCAATTAGGTTTATGACAAAGGATGGTCAATCTCCTGATTCCAGATCAATTGACTCCATTCAGTTAAATAATGCAAGTGAGCAGCCTGTTCTTTGCGAACAAGATCAAAATAGTGCTTCATCAAAGGATGCCTTGCTAGACTCTGAAGGGGCTATGGCTGTAGAGCCTGTGAGTAATGTGGAAGATGCTGCAAACTTAAGATCAAAAGTAGGAGGACCAGAGTCTAAGGAATCTGAAGATGTTGACAGCGGTTGTAGTGAATGCGAAAGTGTAGAAAGTGACAATGCGACAAGCGACAATGGTGAAGACAAATCAGATTGGCGTAAAACATCAAAAATATCAAAAATAGAACTATTTTCTGGCTTACCTGAAGAAGATGCCAAAAATGACATAGTACATCAAAAAACATCATCCAGAGATTCAAAAGGTAAGTCTTATTCATTTATGCAGCTTTTCTTTCACTCAGAGGAAACTATTTTAAGCCATATTCAGCAATTTTTACAAATTTTCCAGCTGACCAGCCAAAATCTGCATGGAAACAAATAAGCCAAAAGATTGCATCCCTTTCATCTCCTGGAACCAGTAGTGATGTTGAAGTGTCTAAAACTTCTGACCAAACCAGCCCTATTGCTTTGGATTGGCTTTTTCAGCACACAGATAGTGAATCAGAGAAGTCTTGCTCTGGGCCAGGTACGGTTTAAAGCAGTCATATAATCTAATGTAAAATTAGGAATGCAGAAATATATCTATCAAGGCATATATTTATCTATCTAAAAATGCATCACAATTTTTGTTCTTTAGCTCAGTGGAACTACACACATTCTGATGACAGTGATGGTCTTGGACATCAAACACCTTCAACCCATGGTATGAAAATTTTTGAAGGACTGTTAGTTTACTCCACCTTTCTACCAAATTCAAAATTGTACTGAAAGTTGTTTAAGACGGTTTTAGGTGATTTTAAAATAAAATGTAAATATGAAAATATACTGGAACCAGTTTCGATTCCAGAGAGTTCATGTTTCAAACATGTGAAACATTGGTGTAAATTCATTTCTCCACCATAGGTCATCTATCTTCATGCATTATATTTACATGGAAAGATTTTGGGTCACTTTAAGCTGCATTTGCATTAGCAGCTTTTAGCTGCATTTTTTCAACTTATTGCTAAGTATTAGCATTATATTTTCTGTTTCAAGATTTACTTTATTAACTGTTGAACTCTTTGCATTACTGTTTGCAGTAGAAAAGGCAAGCTCACAATCCTCTGGAGGATCAAGCCCAAATTCAGCCTTGGAATCATCAGAATTATTACCTTCTCAAAAACCTACATCTACTGAACAACAAAGAAGTCAGGGTGCTATTCCAAAAAAACGTCTGAATGCACCATACAGTTCTGGTGAAGACTCTTTCCAAAGATTTGTTTTAATGATGTGAATGTTTAATTTCCAGTACAAGATACTGACTTGTGTAATTCTTGTCTAGGGAGGAAAGATTCTAGAGAAGAGGCAAGTTTGTCAAGCGCTCAGTATGAGCATGAAGATTCAAGGCCACGGAAGCATAAGAAAGATAGATCAAGTAAGATTCGCCTAGTGATGTTCTTCAGAAAGAAAACATGATCTTCATTTTTTAATTACTTGGATTTCAATTTGTTTAGGGGGACAGACACCAATTGAAAATTCAGGTACATCAGCGATGGGTGCACCAGCTGATAGCCATTTACACTGTTCAAATGATAAACCTCGCGGGACCCAAGGACGTCTTACTAACGCAACTGTTTCCTTTATCACGGAAGAGTTGGAAACCGTGTCTGCAGTTTCTGAGGATTGTCAAAATGTGGTTCAAGCAGCATCCCCCCAACAGCTTGAATTGGGAAACACTTCAAGTACAGGTCACCAACCGTCAAGAGGTATTGAATGTAGATACACTTTGTAATTATTTGTACTTTTATTGTGTTCAACACTAGAAGTTCTTTAATCATATTATAATGTTGTGTCGGTGAACTAGTGACATCTCCAGAAGCAGCTGTTTCACAAAACAATCAAGAACCATCAGAAGATGAACCACCAAGCCGTCTAAAAAGAGCCTCCAGAACTAGAAGGTTACTATAATTCTAAATTGTATTCCCTCAGGAATAATTTCATCAATATGTAAAAATCTTTTGCATAAAATTTTTACAGAATTTGGAGACCAAGAGATGGTGCTTCAGCTCGGTCTGCTCACATTCACCGGGCTGCATTGGATCTGCTTCTGTCCAGTGCTGCAGGAGACCCTCAGGTAGATGCCAGTTCTAGACTTCGTGGGCTTAGCTCATCAAGTGCTCAACACTTTGCATCGTCACATGATGACACAAGCCAGGGGGCGGTCCATGTATTTCAGGATGAGCATGGAAATCCTGTGACTTATGTTTTTGATGAAAAGGTATCACCACATAAATGTCTACCGCTAAAATCGTTGTTTTCCTTAATTGATTTTTATTGCATTGCTGCTTTGGTGTGTTCAGAGTTCTGGGACAGCTGCTGCAGGTCTACCAGCAGCTTTACCAGCAGCAGGCGCACCTAACAGTAAACTTCTTAATATACTGCTCAGACGAAGGCATGGTCAGTTTCGTTCGAATGACAACACAAGGACCTTTCATTTCAGTTTGTAAAAATGTTTCATCTGCAACTGTTCATATTCCCTAGGTTCAAGGGAACGAGATGTTCTCGAGTCATATTCGAGAGATATGCTCAGGCGATATCAAGAGCTACAACGGTACCTATCGGAAGTTGAGCAAGAGAGAGAATGTGAACGATTTCGTGACAGGGATCGAGAAAAAGATCGTGATCGCAATGAACGTGATCGTGACCCAGAACGAGACCACGATCGAGATCGCGAACGTTGGGAAAAACTAATGGATGCAGATTCTGCTAGTATATCATCACTGTCAGTTATATCATCTGGTGTCACTGTAAGTTTCTTATCTTACACCTACAAAGATGTCAAATTATAAGAAAGAATGATACATAGTTTTAACTTCATCAATCGTTTTTTCTACAGATCACAGTAGATGGTGCAAGTGCCCCTCAAGCATCAACATCTACAGCCAACTATCTGAGCCCTCCTAGATCAGCAACTCAGCAATTGCAAGCAGCATTGGCTGCACATGCTGCCCATGCTGCACATTCCAGCACTACCGCCGATGCTCCTCCATCTCCACCTTTTGTCCTTCCTGCCACCACACCGCCTCCAGCTCTTTGTCATTTCCCTCACCCACTTCTGCACCCTATGTTTAGCTCTCAGAGCTCTTCAACCCCTATACAGGCGGCTCCTGCAACATCTACAGCATCACCACCCACAATGTATTTGCCCGTCAGTAGTGCAGACTCATCGTACCATTTTTATGTTGAAGCTGAAAGTGGAGACCACCAGAATCGTGAAAGAAGAGCTCGAATATCACTTTCCCATTTGAGTCAATCTGTAAGTAAATTGATTTACCAAGTTGGGAATAAACGCTATGAGTATTTTATTTCATTGAATGAATTTTTTATTCAGCTTCTCGATCGTGTGTTGCCTGTTCCCATGACCACTAGCTCAATGGGTGAGACAGAAACTGATATAACAGTTTCAAAGAGCCGTTTTGCATTTTTAGATACTCTAGACACACTGAGCAGTAATCAACCACGCCATTACTACAAATTTTATTTAGTGCCATGGACTTACATTAAGGTGAGTTGTTTTGTACTTGAATTCCTTTGAATATTGGAGTTTTACTTCACACTGACTAATTTTTGGTTTCAGATTCGCTTTGACCGCCTATCATTACTAGCTCTTTTAGACCGTACCTTGACCCTGTGGGAGACAATTTTATCTGTGATTCTCTCAGTTCTTGTGGCTGTCATAGGTGGAGCATTATTGTACTCTGGATATTATCGGGATGTTATGGCATTCCTTTTGTGTTTTACTATTGCTGGTTGTCAGTATTCACTTTTGAAAAGTGTTCAACCAGATGCTGCCTCACCTACTCATGGACACAATCGTTTAGTTGCTTTCAGGTTGGTTCATGTACTAATAAATCGTAAAACTGGTTCTTTTTGGCACTAAATCTGCTGCATTTTAATTTCAGTCGCCCTACCTACTTCTGTTTGGTTGGAGCACTAATATTATTCCTAGAGTGGCAAATTGGAGTTAGCGACAAAGATCATTCAATACAAGTTTATGGATTCAGTGTTAACATCCAACACATGCTTCTGACATTGAGAGAGACTTTGGCCACAGTTCTTGTCTGCTTCCCAATAGCATTTAGTTTTGGACTGTTTCCTCAAGTTAATACATTTACTATGTATCTCTTGGAGCAGGTAATTTCCCTTAAGCACCTTTTTTTAATTTATTGGTTTCATCTTTAAAGATTTTACTTCCAATTTTTTTTTTTCTTCTTCAGATTGATATTCATCTATTTGGTGGGAATGCTACATCATCTCTAGGTGCAGCTGCATTTTGTGTTGGAAGAAGTCTCTTGGCTGTGATGCTCTTGGCTGGATTTGCATATGCAGGTTTTTTATGTGACCCTTGTGATCCAAAAGCTCAGCAGCACCTTCTATTTTCAGTGTTTTGTGGCTTACTTGTATCTACTGCATATCATCTTAGTCGATGTGCAAGTGACCCTGGCCCTCTATGGATAATATTTAAAGATCACATTTGGTCAATATTTGATCTCAGTGAAGAGGAACGGGCAGGTAGAAGGCAAAAGAAGCAGCTCCTTCGAGAAGAAAGGGAGAAAGAGGAAAGGAGAAGAGAAGAACTCAAAGAAGATGAAAAGAAAAGAGAAGAGGAAAGAAAAAGGGAGCGTCAGAGACGTAAACGACAGAGCAATGTTGCAAGTGCAAGTAGTTTGACAACTGTAAGAGCCAGAGTTGTTGACAATCGATCTACATCTGGATCAGAGTCTGCTTCTATATCCAATCCTTCTTTGACTACCAATAGAACTGTTGAAGCTCAAGATCTATCCATCAATAAGAATTTGTCAACTACTGCTAGTGTTGGTGGTATCGACCCTCAACAAGAACAATCCAACAAAAAAGAAGAAAATGTTCAGAAATTTTTGGGCAACAATTTAGGAGATGAGCTTGTTGATCCTCTGCCTTTGAAGTTGCAGAACACTGTTAATGCACGACTCAAGTCAGACATGATCATTTGCACCTTACTGACAGTTTTTGTGTTTGGTGTGCATTGTAGCACTGTTTTTTCAGCACTTCAACCCAAGTTGAGCCCTATTTTATGGGGATTTACAAGTTTTGTTGGTCTTTTATTGCATTATATAATGCCTCAACTCAGAAAACAACTCCCTTGGCTTTGCCTTGCCCGTCCAGTATTTCGCTCTGATGAATATGGACAGTTTGAAACAAAAAACCTTGCACGTGTCATGTGGTTTGAAAAGGCATTTGTATATCTCTGCTTTTTTGAACGGAATATTCTTTACCCAGCTGTAGTTCTTTCAGCTGTATCTGTTGATGCCCCAGAAATCATCAAGAAAGTTGGTCTTGGAGGTGGTGCAGTTATAATTACTGTTTGTGCATTGAAGTGCCTGCGCAGCTGCTATTCGGACACGTCTTTCCAGTATTTGATTCTTGTTTTTGCTGTGCTGTTTTTTCAATTGGATTTTGCCTCTGCAAGTGAGACGTTTCTAGTGGATTTTTTCATAATGAGTATAATATTTAGTAAATTTTATGAATTCCTTCTGAAAGTACAATTTGTGGTGACATATATTGCACCATGGCAAATAACATGGGGCTCTGCTTTCCATGCATTTGCTCAACCATTTTCGGTTCCGCATTCAGCCATGCTATTTATTCAGGCTTTCATATCTGCTGCTCTATCTACACCATTGACGCCTTTCTTAGGAAGTGCTATTTTCATTGCATCTTATGTTCGGCCTGTTAAATTTTGGGAAAGAGATTACAACACGAAGAGAGTTGATAACTCAAACACAAGACTGTCTTCTCAAATTGAACGTAACTTAGGGGCCGATGACAACAACTTAAATTCAATATTTTATGAACATCTTACAAGGTCTCTGCAACATTCACTTTGTGGTGATCTCATGATGGGCCGCTGGGGCCCTGTGTCTCAAGGAGATTGTTTTGTGCTGGCATCAGATTATTTGAACTGCCTTGTTCACATTGTTGAGCTTGGAAATGGACTTGTGACATTTCAAATGAGAGGCCTGGAATTCAGAGGAACCTATTGTCAACAAAGAGAAGTTGCTGCTATATCAGAAGGAGTTGAAGATAATGATGGATGTTGCTGCTGTGAGCCAGGCCATTTCCGTCATGTCTTGAGTGTAAATGCTGCTTTTAGCCAACGCTGGTTGGCGTGGGAAGTAACATCAGCAAAATATGTTCTTGAAGGGTACAGTATTTCTGATAACTCAGCTGTATCTATGCTTCAAGTTTTTGAATTCAGAAAAGTATTAATTACATATTATGTAAAAGTAAGTTTTGAAAAATGTTCTTCTAAATTTTCTTCTTAAAATGCAGGTATTATTTTGTAAAACATTGTTTAATTTTTATTTGCAGAGCATGATATATTATGCAATTCACTCTCCTAAACTTGAAGAGTGGTTGTCAAATCCACAAATTTTGGAAGCCATTCTGCCTATGGCTGATAGGAACTTTGTTGATTTGGACCCAGTTTTTAACGTAAATATAGACAAAGATTTTGACTTTCGCACTTCAGGTGTGACTTTCTACAGTTTTTGCTCAGTTTATTTGGAGTGGATAACATACTGTCTGACTAAAAGAGTTAAGCCGTTAGACAAGGAAAAGTTCAATCTACTCGTAGCAATGTGTTTTGCTTTAAGTTTACTTGGTCGTCGATCTCTTGGTGCAGCCTCCCACAACACAGTTTCCAGGTCAGCATAATTTTTGTAGTAATATTTCTTTCCCACAAACATTGGCAGCTTCCCATAATTTGTGTTTATTTGTGATAACTAATTATTTCTTGGTTTGCACAGTGTTGAATTTTTCCTATATGGTCTCCATGCACTTTTCAAAGGTGACTTTAGAATAACTTGTGTGCGAGATGAATGGATTTTTACTGATATGGAACTTCTTAGAAAAGTTGTTGCACCTGGTGTTCGTATGTCTTTGAAACTCCATCAGGTTAGATCCTATTTGCTCCAATCATAAATTTTAGAGAATATCTTAAATAAATACAAATGACTGATGTACATATTTCAATTCTCTTTACAGGATCACTTCATGGCTCCTGAGGAATACAAGGATCCAATTGCTCTTTACGCTGCTATATCTCATCATGAGCATAGTATGGTCATATCTCATGAAGGTGATCCTGCCTGGCGTAATGCTGTCTTGGCTGGGGTCCCCTCTCTTCTGGCCCTAAGGTGAATTATTCTTCAACAGTGATGATAAATTTGAATATTTCAGGAAGTTAATTTAATATCTTATTTGAAAAATGTTTCAGGCATGTTCTTGATGATGGTTCTGATGAATACAAAATTATTATGTTAAATAAGCGCTATTTGAGCTTTCGGGTCATAAAAATTAATAGGGAATGTGTTCGTGGTTTATGGGCTGGACAACAGCAAGAATTAGTCTACTTGCGCAACCGTAACCCAGAACGAGGCAGTATTCAAAATGCAAAGCAGGTAGGTTTTCTTAAGTTTATTTTTCCCTCTAGTTTGATCAATTGATGACATAGTTTTAAATCATTATTGTTGCATAGGCTTTAAGGAATATTATCAACTCATCTTGTGATCAACCCATTGGGTACCCGATCTATGTTTCACCTCTCACAACATCATATGCTGACACTAATGAGCAACTTAGTCAACTTGTTGGTGGGCCACTGAGCTTTGGTGCGATGAAAAAGGCAGTTCTTCAAACATGGCATAGGTATGTTTTTGCTTAGATAGTATGAGACTATCTGTTAAAAACTATTGTAATGAATGCAATTATACATCTCTTGTAGGGTTCGCAAACGCTGTGGAGAGGGATGTTCTAGTGGTGGGTCAGTTCCCCAGGATGAGGGTGGCTTTGGTAACGAAGGTGTTTATGCCATGACAACTTTTAATATCCATGCTGGTACGACCACTGTTATCCTCCAACAAATTTTTCCTTTCTTTTTTTAATTTACTAATACCTGAATCTTTATACTCGTGATATTTCCTCTCTGTTGGAACAGGCTACGGACATCCCTCTACTGGTCAAAATACATCAGGCAGCCAGTCGATGGATTCAGCATTTGGTGTCCGCAGCGGATCCCTTGGTCGAGGGGCTGGTGGGACTGGCTCAATGACTGGTAACCGCGGCAGTTTAGGATCAGTCCATCAGTGGAAACCAACGTCGGCAACTCTCGCTAGTTTGGCGACATTACTCTCTGCGACTGAATCCGCCAAGTTGGCAGAGGCTTGTATGGGACGCGGTGACCGTCCTGACTGGGCGCGTGAGCGGGAAGAGAGGGAGAGGATAATGGAGTACTACCTGCGTGAGCGTGACAAGATACTGAACCGGGACAGAGACCGAGACTGGGATTTGGACAGGGATCGTGATCGTGACAGGGATCGAGATGGTGACCGGCGTGATCATGATCGAGATCGTGATCGCCGTGATTCTGACAGGGATCGTGACCGGCGAGATTCCGAACGGGATCGTGACCGGCGTGATGTGGACCGTGGACGTGACCGGCGTGGTTCCGACCGGGATCGAGACCGCCGGGACGTGGATCGTGATCGTGATCGTCGGGATTCGTCGGAGAGGGATCGTGACCGTCGAGATCGAGACCTAGATGTTGATCGCCGGGATCCAGAATGGGACCGCCGAGACTCTGACAGGGAACGATATCGTTCCTACCTGGACCGAGGCCGTGACCGCCGGGATTCGGAAAGGGATCGTGAGCGGGATCGAGGACATCGAGACCGAGACAGGGACCATGAAAGAGGTCACGACCGGAACAGGGAGAGAGGCAGGGAGCAAGAGAGGGAGCGTTACCGGGACCGAGAGCACAGAGACAAGGAGCGAAACAGGGATCGGGACAGAGAGCGTGCCCGGGAAAGGGACCGAGACAGAGAACGTGCCCGCGAGGAGAGAGCAAGAGAGAGAGACAAAGAGCGTTTTGTGAAAGAATGGAAAGAGCGCGAATGGAAAGATCAGGAAGGGAAGCCTGATGAGGGCTTTTCCTGGGTTCATCTTCCTCACCGCAGTCAACAGAGGGAGCAGCGAGACCAGCTCATGAGTGAACAGAAGTGGGAGAGAGGCAGTGACAAGGGATGGGAGACATCCTCTGAGAGAAGAGCTGAGGCAGAGGAACCTGTTTACCAAAGAGTCAGGGTATGAGAAGACATCAATTAAAACACAATTTAAGTAACTAAAAAATTACATTATTATCATTTTAATTTTAAATTTATTTGCTTCACAGATTGTTGATCCAAATCAAGTGTATGATGCCATAAATTTAGGTCGACGCATTGACGTTGCTTGGCCTGATGAATCCATGAGACAAAGAGGTGGTAGGTCATATTGGAGAGACTGGCTTCCAGAAAAGGGAATGGAAGGACAGGTAAGTTTTTCTTGGCATGACATTCTTTTTACTGACAAGCATGAAGCACAAAAGATGTTAAAATTATTTTATCTATCTAGGTTGTACATCGTTGGGTACCATCTCACAGAGATCCAAACTGCCGCTCCCATGTGGATCGCGTCATACTTCTTGTTAAGATAAGTGAATATTATGTACCAATTGCTGAGAGTGGAGTCCAAGATCTTGGTGCAGAAGTATAGTCTGTGTTGCCTTGTTATAATTTTGTGATATAATCAATTTCTGACATTGGCTTGTGAGAGTGATGGATGCCAGCAAAGTTTTCATTAATTGTAAATGTAAGCATGAATGTTTTGGACTGCTTTTTTTTCTTGGAAAATTTATTCATTTCATATGTAGAAGAGAAGCTCTATTCTTCACTTTATTATATCAGCCCTTTGGCTGGCATCTGTGATTTATTATACATAGATTATATATTTCTTTTTTATCCATGTTTTACTTTTAAGGGTTTCTTGCTGTTACTGTTTCAATCAATGGCTTGTTAGCTCATTCAATGATAAATGACCACCGGTATCACTCTTCTGCTCAATCAACTGTTTACTACAATCCTGGACAATGTTAAGATATGTCTCCTATTAGGCATGTTACCCCTTTCAAGTCATTAAGCTTTTTTTCTTGAATTGCTACCATAGTCTCTTTTAAATTTTCCTGATATGCTTTGTATTCTCTTCATGTGCATCAATTTCTTTTGATTGTTATTTAACTGTGTGTAGCAATGAACCTTCACTGAACACCCTGCAAGGTGGTCAATTATTTATGTGGAGTTCTGGGGTAACATCCTCTCTGCCCAATGGGTTTATTTTTCTTCAAAATGCTTCCAATTTAGGCATCAGCACAGACCAAAACCATATATAGTTACTTCATTTAAAGCCCATCTCATCACTTCTTTAAGATATTGTAATAGAGGAATTTCACTGGACTGATATGATGTAGATTTGTTGTTATGTCGTAATTTATCATATAGTTTAAATGAAGAATGAAACACTAGTTGTTTGTGATTTCTATCTAATGAAAAGGCTGTGTAAACAATCAATAAAATGCAACAGATTGAAAAGACTTGTTTAAGTTGGTTTCACTTATTGCACATCATACCCTTTATGAAAATGCATGACTGTTGCCCATAACTGTTGTCATCAAAATTAAATCTAATAGGGGTGCTTTGATGTTGAAGAAAGAAGTTGGATAGAAATTGTGCATTTAATTCATAAGACCATAGTCTTCATGAGATATATAAAATTAACAAAATATGAGATCTGACATCAAAATTGCACACACATCCTCTGAATACAAATCAAGCAGTTAATTTGAAAATGTTAGTCAATTAAAGTCAAAAAGTCCTGAATCCACAGCACACAAAAATTAACTTAATACGGATGGAAGGTAAGGTACAAAATGTAAAACCACAAGAAACAGGTACAAGTCATTTGGCTTACATATTTCATTTGGGTGGTCTAGATTATCAAGGCAACTTATTACTTCACAACATAAAAAAATAAAATCTTCAATCATACTAAAGGAAAAAATCACACTGGTCTTCTCTACTCTCTACATACACTTATTTACATTCAACAACTTCATTTAATCATCACATTAAACAGAAATGCAATGCAAAATAGAAAATTACATTTTTAAAGGTGACATGACAGTTTGAAAAATACTTGGATTTTTAACCAGTCACTAAATCATGTTTGTTTTCATACAAGGAATTACACTTAGCAAAAAAGCAATATCTTAATTAATCTGAGAACAGTTTGTACATCAACCTCAAATACATTTGTACTTTAAGTGCAACAATCATTTGATATGTCCATAAATTAAAATTATTTGCAAAAATCTGGAGAGGCAAACAAAAAGTGCTTTAATTCAATTTCAAACTCTTGAGGGTATGTTTGAAAGGTTCACTAAATTCATTGAAAATTCTGCCTTCCTTACTGGTAGACACATAAAAGTGAGCAAAGTAATCATAATGAGTTGCTTCAATACACCTTGTCCATATCCATCCGTTTACAGAGAAAAAAAATAATTCTAATAGGTACTTTACTATTTACCCAAAATTAAAGTAATGGGAACTTAACAAATAAGGCAGATAATTGTATTTGCCAATTTAAAATACGCACACAAATAAAACTAAGAGAAAAAAAAGTTTGAATAAAATCAATTCACTTTCTGCTCTTGACCACTCCTCTCCCAACTATTCATTTTAAGACAAAAAAGCTCAATTTCAGTTGAAAGGAGATTTTTGGAGCTTACAAACTACCTAAACAATTTTTAGAAAGTAAAATCACTTCCTACTACGGGTTCTTCTTGGTGATACAGTTACAGCAGGGGTTGCCTTCTTGGTTGTTCTGAAAAGAAGGATAGTGATGAGTTCAAAGACTTCAAACAAAGCTTTGGGTGGATTTGACCGTGATACTTACTTGGCTGATTTTACAGACTTTGCCTTGGTTTGCTTTTTACTGTAACAATTTAAAATGCGTTAGTAACCAATAAAATAAGTTAGTGGCACATTAAAGGTACCAAGAAGAAACAGATGTAGGTTCATGTTTAAAGAATACCTTGGTGCTTTCTTGGTCTTCTCATTGTTGGGGCTGACAACATGAGGGCTAGCTACTTCTTCTAGAGCCTCAGTTTTACCTTTTTTGGATGGAGTGACCTTAAACAGAAGTAAAATATTTTATTCAATTAAATATTTCACATTAGATGGTTGATTTAACATTTGAAAGATCACAATTTACTTACAACATCATCTTCAAAAGAAACAATTTTCCGTTTCCTTTTGGAGGGAGTAGCACTCAGAGGTTCAGATGTTTCTTTGATAGGTGTTGCATTCTTTTTAGCCCTTCTAGTAGCTCTCTTAGGAGGGGATTTCTCTGAGGCCGGGGACTTAGTAACATCCTTTTTCAGTTTCTTCACAGGTGAGTCTGACTCATCTTTAGAAGGTGAAAGTGCTCGCTTTAAAGGCTTTTCAACTGAAGAACTTTCACCCGCTTTAGCCCCTCGTCGTGTTGTTCTTTTCTTGGGAGGACTTCCTATAACAGGTGATTTAGCAACTGCCTGTTTCGATTTGACCCTTTTAGAAACTGCCTTTGCAGGTGAGGATTTTGGAGCTGTAACAGAGGTACCAATTTCTTCATCTACGGTAGATGAGTGGCTTGCCTCTCGGACAGATTCAGAACTGTTTCTGGAGTTCTTAGTTGTAACAGGAGAAGCAGTTTTGACACCTCTGCGAGTTCGAGTCTTGGGCAGATTATGTTCAGGAGATTTTTTCAGAGGAGTAGAGGCTTTGGCAGTCCTCCGGGTCTGTCGTTTGGGGGGCGATTCAACTACTGGAGAGTTTGATTTAACAATTTGAGGTGAAGGAGCAGCTTTCCTTGTTTTTCTTGTTGGTTTCACTGTTTCAGCTGCAACAGCCTGTGTAGATGTTCTAGGTTCTCTTGCTTCATTCTTGGAGGAAGTTCGTTTGGGAGTAGTCTCCTTTTCAGACACAGACTCCTTCAATTTGTTTCGAGTAACTTTAGCATCACTCGCTTTAAGTTTCTTTCCATCTTGAGACTTATCAATAGAGCTTACAGTGAGTGTTGGTGTAACATTCACTGGAGACTGAGTGAGCTTACTGGTCTTTGAAGATGACCCAGTTGATGATCTGCCCTTACTCTCTACCTCAGCCTGAATTTTAGCTACAGGTGTTGTTTGTAGGGATTCACAAAGGCTAGATTTTAGAGAAAATCTTTTAACTTTGGAAAGAGACGGTGAGCCAAAAAGTTCTCGCACACCTGCAAAACTGGCAGGGTCATTTCCAGCAGCAGCTGCAGCATCATTAAACAGTTTTTTTACACCTTCAACAGCCAAATATGTAGGAGTTGGGCATGTTGCCATTAGTCTCTTAATACCCTTAACATCGACATATCCAGCAGGACTGGACGGAGTTTGCATGAGACGGCGGACACCACGTAGATCAGAAAGATCATTTGTTGGGGATTTTGGTGCCTTCCCTTTCCGTTTTGCACTTCCTGCTGTTGGACTGCTAGAACTACTACCAGCTGAACTTAAAATTGATGATACAAACATTTCACGAGGAACATTTGGTGTTTTGATACTGTTGAAATCAAATGTAGTTAAATCTGGAGTAGCAACACCACCATGACCTTCGCTGCCATGAGAAGAAGCAGGAGAGCTGAGAGAGGCGGTTGTGTCAACAGTCTTCTTTGAGTTCGATACTAGCATTTTAATATGAATACTGTCATTGAATGAAACAGACAAATTCTTGCTATGCCCTGCTGATGGTGGACTCTTGGAGGGCGAGTTCTTCAATGATGATTTAACAGGAGATGCAAGAGGCGAATGGACATACGAAGACCTGGGTGCAACCATATCAAGTCGAGACTTTCTTCCAGAAGCTGGACTTTGAGGTGCACTTATCTGTCCAGTAAGCAATGAAGAAGGAGAGTCAAATGCTGACTCTGCAAATGATTGACTTCTACCAAATACTGCAGGAGTGGAAGTAAGGAGGGCACAATGTTTCTTAGAACCTGACTGCAAAACAGATTTAGAGACACTTCGGGGTGTTCTTGCAGGAATCTTCTCTTCTTCCAGAAAAGAGGTAGAACGAGTGCTGGACCGTCCAGAGGTATTCACTGAATTGGCCAAAGGAGTCTTAGAAGGACTGGTTGATTTCACAGAAGTTCTTGCTGCAGACCTCTTTTCTCTTGATTCTGTTAGTTGACCAGTTTTGGGTGTTTTAACAGGGGAAGGCTTGTTGGTAGGTGTACTCACAACACTTCTGGAGTTTCTAAGTGATTTGTGAATACTTGCTGACTTTACAGGAGATGGTGAAGAAGCTAACAAAGCAGAGGTATTTGGAGGGAAACCAGAAGATGAACTTGTGCTCTTTACAGAAACATCTTTCAGTGGAGTTTGAAACATTTCAGAAATACCTGACAAATTGATACCTCCTCTCAAGGTTTGTTGAATCAATGGAACTTTCCGACCTTTCTTAGTAGCAACAGGCGTCTTTGTAGCCTTCCTGCCAATGAAGATTGTTTCCGGGGAATTGGCATGACCAGTTGAACCAAATTTAAAGTTCTGTGGTATCTCCTGCAAATAGATGAATAACGATGAATAATAATAATAAAGAATAAATGAGATTGACTTAATTCCGGAATAACTCGTACTTACAGTGGATAAGGGAACTTTTTCAACTTTTTTTGGTGCAACCTTGGGTCGGGGATTGGGGGCAAGAGCTAACTTTTTGACTACAGCATTAGCTCTCTGCACAGCCTTTTTCTTCAAAATTTCAGCAAATGTAGGCTTATGTGCCTTTTTGATGGAACTCTTCACCCCTGATTTCTTTACTGTGCTAGAGCGCGGTGTTTTAGTGGTCTTAATAATTGGAGTTTTCTTTGCTGATAATATTAGCCTGACAATAGGGGTAGATGAAGGTGCAACTCTTGGAGACTTGCCATGGATACCCATCAGGGCAGTCATCTTCTTTTTATCTATTTTAACAGAAATACATAAAAATAAAATAAAAAAAGAATTAAGAACAAAGTTAGGAAAAAAAATTTGCCAGAACAAATAAATTTTATCAAGAGGAAAAGTAGCCATTCACTCAGAGATTGCATTTAGGTAATAATCATAAAACTTACCGATTGATTTTGGAGATTCAATCTTCATTCGTTTAGCAGCAACAGACGAAGGAGAAGACAATCTTCTCTTCGATCCTTTAGTGGTCTTAACAGATTTTCTTTTTGACTACAAGAGATACAAAGGTATCAATACTAAAATTTTCTGAGCCAGAAAAATAGCAAATGAACCTACTAATTAAATTAATAAGAACATTTGAGCTTACCTCAGATTGCTTTGCTGACTTAGCAGCTGATTTACGGGCCATTGGTGTCTTGGCTTTGGGAGTCGCAGCCTTAGGTGTCTTGGGCTTAGGAGTCTCAGCCTTGGGTGTCTTGGGCTTGGGAGTCTCAGCCTTGGGTGTCTTGGGCTTGGGAGTCTCAGCCTTGGGTGTCTTGGGTTTGGGAGTCTCAGCCTTGGGTGTCTTGGCTTTGGGGGTCTCCGCCTTGGGTGTCTTGGCTTTGGGGGTCTCCGCCTTAGGTGTCTTGGCTTTGAGACTTTCAGCCTTAGGTGTCTCAGCCTTTGGTGTCTTGGCTTTGGGGGTCTCAGCCTTGGGTGTCTTGGCTTTCGGGGTCTCTGCCTTAGGTGTCTTGCTTTTGGGAGTTTCAGCCTTAGATGTCTTGCCTTTGGGAGTCTCAACCTTAGGTGTCTTGCCTTTGGGAGTCTCAACCTTAGGTGTCTTGCCTTTGGGAGTCTCAACCTTTGGTGTCTTGCCTTTGGGAGTCTCAACCTTAGGTGTCTTGCTTTTGGGAGTTTCAGCCTTTGGAGTTCTGGAGGCTGCTGATGTTCTCCTTGAGGGAGTTTTAACTATAGAGGAAAGTGCAACAACCTCTACTGTCTTATCAGTGCTGCCTTGCTTTGTGTCCAGCGTTTTTAAGACTGCCACTTTCAATGATCTGATTTTTTTTAAAAATATAAAGACATATGAAGGACAGATGTAAACATTAGAGGGTATTTCAATTTCAGAAACTAATTTCATTTACCTGGTGGATGGCTCTGAGTAGGTAATATTTGGGCCTAGTGTTCGTCTTTTATGATACTGAGAATAAAAAGAACAGTAAATGACTAACATGTAAATCATATAAGGGAATGAAACTGACACAAGATTTTTAAAATCTGTAAAGCCTACACTTACCAACGGATTAACAACAGCCACATTGTGAGAACCTAGTGCAGAATCTGCTTCAGACTTCCTCCTCTTCTGATGTATTCTTTTGCTCCTGGAATACAACACCATAATATGTTGGACTTCATTTAAATAAAAGCAGGGAAAGAAAATACAAAAATACTCACTCATAAAAAGGATTAGATTCAGCATATTGCCAACGAAAAGACCTTTCCCCAACACTAACAATATCTCCATGTTGCAGTGGATGGCGCTCTTTACCAATAGAAACATTATTAACTAATGTTTGAGAGGTAGAACTCAAGTTTTGAATAAGTGCCTATAACAGAATTATAAAATAACTTTAGTATAGTACGGGCAAATTAAAATAAACAACACTTCAAGTAATAGATCAGAGTAAAACTTACTCTTTGCCCATCTTCAACAAGTACCAGGCAGTGTTGTTCAGAGACCGACTGAACAAGAATCCTCACATCACAATGAGAGCTCCGACCAATTTTGACACTTTGTTTCACCGGGATTTGCTGACCATCAGCCCCATTTTTCTTCAAAATTGTAATGTATCCATGAACCATCGTTACCTGGGTTAAATCATGAATCACTTTAACATGTGCACATAATACTAGTAAAACTTGAGCTAGAGATAGTTAGATAGTCACCAAGTACTGTCTTAAGAGTTATCAGATAGTAAGTGAAGTAGATATAGAAATGTAGTCATTGAATACTATTATAATAGGGCATATATACTAGTATCAGCAGTAATAATGAACATGCAAAACAAATGAAGTTACAAGTGAATAAAATTAATCTTTAATGCTTGAATGACAAACCAAATAGTGGTTGATCATGAGAAAAATTGAATGTACAGTAAGCAGCACATACTAGCATGGGAGCACTGTACAAGTCTCAACCGGCCCGCCATCTGGCGGTTGTAAATTTAAAATGGGCCTGACGGCTCGTATGTCGGTCATGCTGAATGAAATATATTCCTTTCCGCACTACTGAAGGAGTCACTCCAATGTATTACTATCATTACAACAGAAGACTGAAGGCCAGAACATTTAAAAAAAATAAACTCCATTGTTGAATTAAATCAATTGGAAAACAAGACGCTAAGAGAACTACCAGCCATGGTGGGTTGTGCTGGGGTACTATCGGAAAGATTGGCCTTTTTTTCTTCACACCTTACCGTGTTAACTGACACGCTTGGTCTTCTAAATCAAAGTTCGGAATGTATTCTATACACGCCTTCACTTAATGTTTAAAGTGACACTGTTCGATTCAATGGCCCTAATATGTGCATAGTGTCCTATCGGAGGACTTACGCGGACGACCACTAAGTAACGACTGGTTTAACGAAGATTTTTTGAAATGCCCTCACAACATTCCGCGGATGAAATGTAGTCACTTACGTACAAGTGGCTAGTTAATAACTCCCTCGTCAAAGTTTGCTTCAATTATTTAAAAAATATAAAAGAAGTAAATTTAAAACTGCTCTGTGGGTGAAATATACAAGGAAATTTAAAAAAATCAGTCCATACTCGAGGTTCGCGGAGTAATACTTAAAGAATTAAATGGCGGGTGAAAACAAGAGAGTATCGGATCCTTTTTTGGACAAGTTGCCAGCACACTAATATTATTACACGTTTTGCGTCTGTGTTTTATCAAATGAATTTTTCTTAAATTGATCAGTAGTAACGATTAAAATTAAATGATTTGTTGGTTCCACATACAAAGTGTCATTTATGCGTCTTGCAAAATGCTTTCTTCCGTTCTATGTTTGTTGCGTTGGCAATCTGCGCTGCTATTCCTTCTACCCCACTTTGAACTAAATCGAGAAATTGTATAAAAATTACATTCTGACGTTTCGTTTCAAGTCCTAATTCTGTACCGACAACATGGCAACATACTTACGTAATTGGGTTTTTCTCTACGGGTGATGAACACTTTAGTATTTATCTTAATCACGAGACAGGTAAATTTACTCGAAACGCTTCTCGTAGTTTCTCATATTGTATGACCTTGGCGCGGCGTCGCACTTGTTCTTAAGTACGGTGCACTTTATAGAAGTTGAGTTGCCGTCGCCAGCATCGCTTCGTTTCCTTGCCGGCTCCTGCATCAAGTACGTAGTTCTTGCGCCTGCTGCACTTAAAACATTGTTTCAAGAGAACGTGTGGAACTGCGGGCTTTCAACCTGTTCTATCTATATTAATCTTGTCGCGAAAGTATTTCTTGTAATTCTTTTGTGATGATCAACACGGTAGAAAGTAAACAGGACCCAAGCAGCAGACATTTTGGTTTGAACAAGCTCAAGGCTCGCAGTTCCACGTCTTCGATCGGGAAGGGGGCTAGGCGTCCGTTTCAGAAAGAACAGCTCACTGCTGTACCCTCACGCCATATATCAAGGTATCTAATTTACCTTTATTCTAGACGTTGTGGTATTATTCTAATAGCACCGTACTTGGTCGTCTAGCCGCGTCTTCGCCAGAGGTCATTAACACCGTTTCTCGTCTCTCATTTTCCTTTCTTTTATGTTATGGTTTGCTGTGATACCTTTCGCTCGATGCCAAAGTTATATGAGGGCAGGTATCAAAAAGGCTACCACATAGTCTTCGAGTCTTAAGGATACTACTCTTTTTAAATATTTCCCTTTTAATTTGTTTTGTTTAGAAGTTGCCCTCCATTTCAATGTTCTAGTTAGGCCTACTTATTTATGTTTTTGGAGGTATGATCTTATGGTGTATTGTTTGAATTAGTTGTTTTGCTGACTAAACATAGGTTCAGATGTAGGTCAAGTCTAAATTCTTGTTGCATCTCTTTTTTGGTTTTGTTTTATACCCCTGGGCAAGTTTAAATTGATAACTTATGAAACAGGCATTCAGGCCATGCCCTGTTAACGTGTTTTCATCAACATGGACGTTGTAGGCTTTATATCATTCTAACCTGTTAATTTTTCTTGTGGTTCCAGGAAAGATCTTTTCTATAGTCTACAGTCTTCAAGAAATGGTCAGGGGCTTCACAGAATAAGAAAGAAACAAGCCCCAAGTCCTAAATTCCAAGTAAGATTACTTAAAAGTGATTGTAACCCTATTTTGCCTTCCCTCTTTTTTTATTGTACTGCTTTGTCCTGTTTTCAGGTCAGCATAAGGAAGAAGGACCTGCTGAAGGAAGATAGATTACTGCCTTCGGACAAAACTAACAGCACAATGCATCCAGAACAAGTTCAACTATCACACCCTGTGGAGAATTTAGTGGAAGAAAAAGTGCTCAAACCTCAAGAAGTTGTGGAAGATGTAATCGACATTGAAGAAGTTGACAATGGAGATTTCAATGGGGCACCCAAGGAAGAACATAATGGCAATGGTGTACACATGAGAGAAAATGGTCATCCTCAACAACAACAACTTGAAACTGGAGAGGAAAAATCGCAGGCTGATTCTAATGGGGCAGAGGCAAAGCCGTCCGTCTTGCGTCTCAAAGGCTCTCGTCGAAACTCCACAAGCAGTCGTTCATCTTCTGTCTCCTCTGCGCCATCTTTGAAGCATCAAACCCCAATGGCCATGCAAATGGAAGTCAGTATGGATTATGATGAACGCGATCACATGGAACCATTAATTATTGATGGTAATGCAGAAGATTTGGAAGTAAGCATGAGTGCTTCCCATGATGAAGCTGATGATGGAGCCACTACTGACTCAGAAGCCGTCACTGAGCAGCCCCATGATCCTTATGAATTTGATGAAGATTTTGAACCTGCTTTTGAAACAGAGATTCTTCACAAGAAAACTAAATCATCCAAGTCTGCTAAAGGTTCAAAGGCAGCTAAATTGTCTCCCAAACCCAAATCTGGCAAATCGAAGACACCTCGGACTAAGTCACTCAAACTGAAAGTGACAAAATCATCACCCAAGTTGAGTGAAAAACTTCTCGAGGAAATTGATGCTGAAAATTCAGATACCAATTCTCTTTACAAGGATGACACAGAGTCTGAAGACCTTAACATTAAACCTCAAAAGTCTCCTAAGCGCTCCAAAACTAGTCCATCTAAACAGGATGTCGAGGAGAGTGAGGGTGAGGTAAAGGGGGGTGATGCTGAACATGTTCCAAGGAGGAGTTCTAGATCCAGGCACACGCCTCAGAAGTACAACAGCTCTCTGTATGCTGATTGGGATCATCAACTTCTGTCGGAAGATCGCATGAATAACTCTGATGCTGTCTACGGAGCATCTATTCGCAGTGTAAAGGGCAGACGATCCCTGCGAAAGTCTCGTAACATAAGTGTGCTGAACACTTCACTACACAATGAATCCTCTCCGTGGGATAATGAATTTAAAGTTTTGACTCCATGTGGTGGTGGAGTGTCAATGCACAATGTACCTGATGCTGAAAATATTGACATCAGCACACCTCTTAAACGCAAAGTCATTGAGGAAGATGATGAAGTGGAAAATGAAAGAGGCCAGAAGAAAATGTGCGTTGAAAATACGGAGTTCAACTCTTCCACTTCAAGTCACACATCCAGTTTCTTTTCGGTCATAACATCTCCAATCATCATGTTGAAGAACAAGTTAAGAGGATCGTCTGTGAACAGCAGTACTCCTGTCAGAGAGACCAAACCAGAAGAAATTGTGGATCATGACATGCCCTCTGAAATTGATGTTGACATTGAACAGGAATCAAATGATAATGCTCCAGTGAAGGAAGTTGAGTCTCCACTAGAAGGCACATCAGTGGAAGAAACACCTGATGTAACTCCAGCCGCTGAAGCACCAGCTGTTGAAGTGGCTCAGGAGTCCAAGAGTTGGTGCTCCATCATGTAATTATCAATTATTGTAGGTTTGCATTTGCTGACACATAACACTTGGTAAGTTTTGATTTGTTATTTACTTGCTTTGATCTTAGTCAGTAAGGTATGTGGGTAATTAAGACCTTTTCTTGTCTTCTGTGTATAATTTGTGTTATATGTCAGCAAATGCAATCAACAATTTTCTTCTGTCAGCTTCTTTGAACTTCTGTGTAGTTCGTAGAAGTTGTAGTGGAGTTCAACATATAGGTCGATTTGCTTTTCCCATCGGTATTACTGAATCTTATGAAAATTCTATTTCAAAAATTACTTGTATTTTAATTTTTTGACTAGGTGAATCATTATTTTGGCAACATTTATTTGATTCGCATGTATTTGAATTAGGCTATATATACTATATAGCAGCAGTATGTAGCCTCACCCCCTTCCCCCTGTGCCCATTTCCCTCTTTATTTTTATTTTATTCTTTTCGGTACATATTTCTTTTATTATGTATCTTGTATTATGAGACTGATCACAGTATTTCCATTTTATTTTAGTCCTTCCCATGACATATAGATAATTTTGGTGGGACAGTATTGCGGTACAATCTGAATCTTAATCTTTCTCTTATTTTATTGAGAAATTTGCTGCTGTCTTCATGTAAACTTTGTTCCCTTTGTTGTATTTTAAGTAAATTTTATGTTGAACTTAATGTACTTCAATCTAGCATTAAAGGAATGTTTCATTTTATCCAATGTGTGTTATTATCCTTCATTTTTATGCGTCGTTTTGACTGGAGAGTATCTTTGAAGGCTTAAGCTGATTTGAAATGCAGTACAATTCACTTGTGATTTTTTAATAAATGCCATGGTACATGCAGCAGGGGACTGAAAACAAATAATTACATCAAACACACAATTACATTAGTGCCATACATAAGTAGAAGTGTTACTCCAACTATACTTGAAGAGATTCCTTTGGCAGATAATTCTCAAAGCTTTGCATTCATGAGTATTGTGTGTACAATTTGCTTCTTGTCAAATTTAGACCTTGACTGCATTATTGGCAAAGTATCACCAAACATGAGCTTTCATATCTATTGTAACAAGACTTATAATTATTGTCATGTGTTTCATTATGACAGGGATGCATGTTAATTGATGACAAATCTTAATATTTGATTTGTACATTGCAACCCCTTCATTCACCATTTGAGGGAGTCTCATTCTACTTACACTAACTATAACATGCAAGCCTGTGTACAATCATTAAATTTTGTCTTCCTAACTAGAGTATCACACAAGACACTGCTCTTTTAGCCATGTTTCATGCAATCCAAAGGGATACAAGTTTCTTTGTACTCACTGATAAAGCATTCATGTGGTTAACATTACTTCGCAACCTGACAACTGAATAGATATAACATCAGTTCCCCAACAAAAAAACAGGCTTTAATTACATGTAAGAGCTAAATTTTACTTGCTCTTAAATTGATATAATCTAATGGAATATAAGTAGTACAACAGGATTATGTTAAAATACAACTTAAAATTACCATGCAGATCAATTTTTAATTAATGCTGCTTTCCTAGATACATTGATTTCTTTAAAGAATTGTTGCAGCTCTGTACATGATTGAGCTTCGACATTTCTTTTATCTTTCATTTTCAATTATATTAATGTCATAAATTTAATAGTTAGCACAGACAACTCTTACATAGTTTCCTTTTTGCTTTTGGAAAGGAGGATGGACTTCTAAGAGCAGAAGCCACTATTACAGCTTTTAAAAATTTCATAAACTTGGATATGATGTTGTTGTTTTTTTGGATAACATCATCTAAGTTATAAACAATCACATTAAAATTTAAATTGACACAAAAAATTATCTGCCTAATCTACATTTACAGGCGTTGCACTACGAACACTTTTGTTCAGCCGTGACAAATATTTCTGATATTGGGGTTTTAATTCACAATCTCCTAATTTATCTTGTTGAGAATCCAACTCTGCCAAAAGCGAATTCAAAGCCGGTTTGCCTTTCTCACCCTCAGATTCAAATAACTAGGCATGGATACTTCAAACTCATTAAAATCCCAGGTTTGCCCCAGCAGAGCAAGTGAAGATAAAGGTTGTTCAATGTAATTCCCAGCTTGCAACATTTAAAAGCTTAAATGTTTTAAACTTATTAATCTATCACAACCATATTTGATTTTCAAGCCAGTGCTTCTGTAAAGTAACTCTTTTACTCTTCAACTGCAAATACGGATAACAATTAATTGCAAAGTGCACCTGTTTTGATACAAGTTGTCTTCCTTGGCGTGAAAAAAAATTGCTAAAGTTTCAACTTTATAGCTGCTTGATTTTAATTAAACGGAGAATGACCCATGATTGATTTCCAGATGAAGAACACTGAGGGCTGGGCTAAAGAAATCACTTTCAGAACTTCCATTTTCATACTGAGATTCAGAATAACTCATGTAACGATGACATAAATGAAATTCAAGTAAATGAAACTTTTCTGTACACTGTACACTAATTATTGATGCGAAATGTGATTCTGTAACTTCTTGTAGTGAAAATAAGCTCTATAGGTTCTGCTCAAGAGTATTCAAAGGTATGCTTATGTCATTCTTGCATTTGTTTCAAATAAGACCTAAATATCCTTTTTTGTTCCATTACCATAAACTTTGAACCTTCACAACTAGAAACTTTTTCAAAAAATAAATTTGACCCTAATCTTAAAAAAAAGGACCAAGCCATCAGAACTTTGCACGTTAAAATAATTTTCTATCTAAAAACACATAGCCGATAAAATTTGTTTTTTTTTTTTTTTTTAACAATGAACAACAAAAGTTGATTACAAATTTACGTTGTTTGAAAAAATTGCATGAAAATTTTTAGTTTCTTTCTATACATGAGCCCAAGTGAAAATCTAGTGTCATTTTGTGTCATTTTGACCCTCCATTTCAAAGTATTGTCCTTCCAGCAGGTTGCGATTTTGAATTCAGAATGACTTTTAAAGACCCCATTTTGACTATGTGTTCTCACTGGAAGGATTTCAGCATATATGGATATTCAATATAGTTTACAGAAAAAAAAGGTAAAGCACTAACACAAAAAATATCCTTTAAATTGGAATGTTCAAAGGGCAGTCAGGTTGAATTATTACGTCTAGAATGTAAAGTAATGTTCTAAAATTAGCAGCCAAACTGAAACAACTGATATGATCTACAAACTGACCACATTCATTAGAAACAACTATCTGACCTTGATGCGTTTTCATGTGAGCTTAGTTTTGCTGCAACCACACACGCTTCTTTTGTGAGGTCTTGATATTGTAACAGTAACGTTTGTGCTGATATAATGGAGATATAGAACACTGAATATTTTTTCTTTGACCAGTTAAATGAATCACCTTAAACTTTTGGTGGAGGTCTCTGTTTCTATTTTAATAGGTACTTGGGCACTCTGGGGGATTTAGGTCTCCGAAAACATTCAGCTCGTAGAGGCTAGCAAAACTTATAAAAGCCAAATACCAAAGCATTAAAATCACTCCATACTTCTTATCAAGTTTCCATCCATTCAAGTGAGTAGCCACCACCAGGAAGACAACAGTTGACAATAGTGACAGTGTCGAGTAAGTGAGACCTGGGTTGTGAGAGGAAAAGGACGACATAAGGATTGATTATTACAGTTATAACAGCATAGTGAGAAACACTCTCTTATCCTTACCTTTGCTGTACACGTTAACATGACTCCCTGGAGCGATAAGAGCTGTCTGTATGAACCAGGGAAGTCCCAAGCACACAAGAATGTCAAAGACATTGCTTCCCACTGCGTTAGACACAGCCATGTCACCGTATCCTAAACAAAACAAACAAATAAAGTGAGCTCAAAAATTTGCACTCTCCTAGGCCCCTCACAAGGGAACCCCGCCAAGTGTAAATTCCCGATTTTCATTCTACTTTTGGAAATTGTTGGTCTAAATATGTCATCGAAGGACACATCAAAGATTTTTGCTTAAATTCATATTTAGGGGTCATTTTGGGTATTTGTTCAAAAAGCTGCTATTTCAATTATTTTT